GGGTAGGAAACCTCTAGTGCATTCTTTATCTGAACCGGATCAGGAAGAAATCTGAATGCTATTCCTTCAACCTTTAACATATACACCTATAGATTTCAGGGGAAAGCGTTAGCATATAGAAACTCTGAAAGCTATTCGAGAGATGAATTTCACATGTAGTCTACTTAAGCATGGGAGATTTCATATAACTGTCAAATTCATGTCACTTGCATTATTCTTTTTTGTTCATAATAATGTAGGTAGTATATAGCACCAACTCAAATCAACAACTAAAATTTCATGGTACGGAAATACCATCACCATCACAAGTTATTGCATTTGTAATTATTTTCACCCTATTTTCAGTTTGGCATCCGCCAATAAAACATGCGACAACTGACACCAACTGTATTCCAAGTTCCAACTAGAATTTTTTTAAAATTTTTTTATTTGGGTAATAATCATTAAATAGATATAGTGGGAACATAAATACATTGACCAATTTAGCAGGAGTTACCTGGTCAAGCGTAATGGGGACAACCTTAGCCCCGCTTCTCAGTTCTCTTCTCCGCAGCCGAACCTGTAACCATCACGACACAAGACCGCCCGAATCAAAACCGAACAATATCCAAAAACAAAACGAAGCAATCCCATACTAGTTTTTGCAGAAAATCCTAGAATAAGATAGCAAATGCATAGCCCAAATTGAAGCTTTTTTCAAGTGTTATTCAACATAGCAAGAATTTTCACTGAAATGTCATAATGCACCTACTGTACTATAACAAATTGAACTTTTTCCCCTCTAGAAAGCAAAACAACGTAATTTAACAAACTATATATATCTTATCTCCACTATATAAACTCGAAAATTTTCACAGAAACAAAGCAAATTTGAATGGCAGATTAAAAAAAAGGGAGCTAACTTGAGCGAGAAAGGATTCGGCGTCCTCCTTGCGAAAGCAAAGCAGGCCAATTGACTTGGCTCCATCGGGATCGGAGATAAGCACAAACTCATTGTTCGAATTGCTGACAGTGTAGACGGCCGTGCCGGCCAAGGTCTTGGCCACGTGGTCGGAGCCCAGTGCAGCAGCGGCAGCGGCGGCGGCGGCCGACGCGGGTTTGGGCTGAGTCAACGAAGCGAAAGGGGGAGAAGGAAGAGAGAAGGCGGCCGAGGCGGGTTTGGGCTGAGTCAACGAAGCGAAAGGGGGAGAAGGAAGAGAGA